TCTATCTATCTATCTATCTATCTATCTATCTATCTATCTATCTATCTATCTATCTATCTATCTATCTGTCTGTCTGTCTCTCTTCCCGTCTGTCTGTCTGTCTGTCTGTCTGTCTGTCTGTCTGTCTGTCTGTCTGTCTGTCTGTCTGTCTGTCTGTCTGTCTGTCTGTCTCTTTCTCAGCTCCCATTTTAGGCTTCATTGACCACTGTATGTAAGCCTCGTCTTCACTAATCGCTGTTTGAATTCGCTTCCTTCTCTTCCTCATTCCTCTCGGACAGGGAACATCGCCGCAGGTCTCACCAACCTCAGGTTTATAGATTACAATGTGGATACATGCAACCTGAACAGGATATCTGAAGCGTCTGTCTACGCTGAAACGACCCCTTTCAACTTCACTTGGCTCAGAGTGTCAGGAGAATGGGGTAACATTTGGGCTGGTTATTTCCAAACGCCCAGTTACTTACTTTTTACTTTTTCATCCTCTATTGCCGTTAAGCGTCGAGGGAAGATGCAGTTTTTAAAAATGGTAGACCAGTTTCGCAGCTCTTTCATCTGTGATATTATTTTGTTTTCTCAGAGTTTCCTTGACACCTTTAATCCACCTGTTGCTTGGCCTTCCTTTTCCTTTGTAGCCTGAGTGCTTGGTGCTGTAGTCTCTCGAGGCTGGCTGGCTAGGTGACATACGTAACAGGTGGCCAAACCATTTTATTCTCTGTCTTTCTATGAAATGTAGACATGACTCAGTACCGATAGCAACTCTTTTTTAAAGTATGAGTCTTACGGCTCTTGCAACACAATAAGGTCATATAAGTGCCGAAAATTAGAGGCGTTACAAGACAGTAACAAACACAAAAAAGAAGGAGGAGAGATAAGGACGATAGATGTTTGATAGGAAAGAAGAAGCAAACTGTGATGCCTCATAATAAGTTAGATACACACGGATAGTCTAGCACAACAATCGTACACTGAAAACAGCAACCGACCATGTTGGATGTTTATGACACTACTGAATCATAACTTTAATTGCTCATCCTGAAGAGTACCAAATTGATACATTCAAACAAGGAGACGTAACTACGGCAATTAACAATAGTGAACCAAACACAGTTATTGCTCATTTAACTAATATTACAGGGATATATTACACAAACCACACCAGAACACCCACCAACCACCCACTATAGCAACTCTTACTTCTTCATTGTACGCCCAGTCCAAACAATAATGTGAGAGTCATTATAATATACGTCACCTTGGTGGCTTGAAGTGTGATGTTTCTGTGGCATTGTCGTTACTGATTCTTCTTGATATAAAATAATATCATTGTTGGTATCGTTATTTTTGCTGTTGTTGTTGTTGTTGTTGTTGTTGTTGTTGTTGTTGTTGTTGTTTTTGTTATTTTTGTTGTTACTGCTATTGTTGTAGCTGTTGTTTGCTATTAGTTGAGTCTGACGTCGTGAGGTTCGATTCCCCGTTTGCCTGAGGCAGCCTTGTTAGTGGCGTTTTACCAGAAACACTCTGCGCGTTGAAACCATTGCGCCACAGACCCTGTGAAGGCTTCCTGTATTACTTTGCTTTCCCTAGAATCAGTGCCCCCCCTCCCTCCCCAACCAGGACAGTGCTACTGACTGAAGTTGTCTTTAGGCCATTCCCAAAAGGAGGATATTAACTTATTCTCATGCTCAGTAGAATAATTGTAAATGGTTTGATTTATCAATGTCAAGCTTATATTGTGTCGGACCAACATAGGGGGGAACTCCTGCCTTTTTCTTTTCTCTCCCTTACTATCGTCATTTCCCTCTACTTCTTTTGTATGTTTGTCACTCTTGTGAACTGATGTTTCCAGGGTGCCTTGATAGTCGAAGTAGACTTTGTGCTGTTGAAGCTAGAGAGGTGAGCAGAGTAAGCGCAATTCCCCGTTTGGACTTCTCTGTTGACATCCACCCCTTGGCGCTCATATGACCTTATACAGTTGCGAGCGCAGTAAAACCTTACTAAAACTAAAAGAATCGGTGCGAGTTTTGTGGAAATGTCGATGTGGGATCCCCGGAACCCCCCCCCCTTCCCCATATGCTAACCACTCGGACGTTATGGGACCCATCCCCATATGGGTCACACCCAGTCGATATGGGACCCCTCCCCCTCCCCCATATGGGAACCACCAAGACGTTATGGGACCCCTCCCCCATATGGGACGCATCCATATGGGAGCCATTGGGACCTACCCACTGGGAACCACCCACCCCTCCCCCAACCATATTATTCATCAACTGACGTCAATGCATTGTAATAAGAAAAAGACAATGACCCCCCCCCCAAAAAAAAAGAACATTTTAAAAATGAAATGAAATATAATCAAATAAAAATTTTAAAAAACCAAAACAAAAACAACAACAACAACAAAAAACAAAACAAAATCCAATGATTGTAACATGAACACGATCTATTCAAACACATAGCGCGACATTTATTTTGGAATAGTTGTTGTCAATCAAAACAACGTGGGTGGTTGGCGGGTGCCCTGGTGTGGTTTGCTCCTTCCTTCCTGTCAAACATCTATCGTCCTTATTACTCCTCCTTCTTCGTTGTCTTCGTTACTCTCTTGTAAAACCTCTACTCTTTGGCACCTATATGACATTATTGTGTTGCACGTGCCGTAAAACTCTTACGAAAGCTAAAAACGAAACACCACCGACTGTAGCACTCAGAGTGGACAGAGTTTTTGACTGACGCAGCGGGGTGTATTGCAGGATTACGTCTTGTATGGTAAGAGTTCAAAGTTTGTAAGGGAAGTACAGAACGATGGCGACTAAGGCGAGGACGTTGATCGCTGCCATGCTGAGCATGACGCCAGGCCACGAGAGGTACGCCAAAAGTGATGACGTCATGGGAGGGAAAACCAGACTGACCAAGACGCCTGATGACTGAACAAGGCCGTACATGGTCGGGAAGTTTGTTCCTCCAAAACAGGCAAAGACCGCCATGTAGATAACAGAGAACATACCGCCAGAAAACCCTGCCAAAAGACAGGACCAGATGAGATACAGCCACTTGCTGACAAACGGAGTGAAGAACCAGAAAATGGAGGATATGGACAACAGAGAGAAACAGATGACAAGCGATGTTTTCACGCCAGTTTTGTCCATGATGACCCCCCACGCAATGCGACAAATGAAAAAGGCGCCGGACATGCAAGCACCGACATTGCCCAAAAAATGGTCGTCTTGAATAATACTCTGCGCGAAGGTTTTGTAGAAAGTATTTAGGATTATGTAGGTCAGCTCAGCGGATCCTGCAGCGAAGCACAATACGTGGAAGTTTCTCGCCTTCAGCGCTTTCCGCCAAGTCAATTCCCCATCGCTAGACAACTTTTGTCCCTGTGAGCTCTCTGTGATAACCGAATCTTCACTGTCCTCGTCTGCCCCATCCTCCTCCTGTTGTCTGTCACACACGTCAGAATAATCAGCCCACGAATGTTGGTCTATTTCTGTCTCTTGGTACTTTGTGGATTTAAAGACGTCATAATGAAGATCTTCACCATCACACGTGGCTGAGTTCTCGTTCCTGAATACCCCAGAATTATCCCAAGGGGTCTCTCGTTGCTCCTTTTTCTTCATCTCAAACACCCCATCACGCTGGTTACTTCCTCCACACTGTAACAAAGGCAAGGAGCTATCGTCCCCCTGGGAGCTGCTATCATCGCTCTGTTCGTCTGAAGAGACAGCTGATGTCACAGCGAGATAATCTCGACGCGGGGATTGAAGACGGCTGTCGTGGTGATGATGATGACGACGATGACGACCACGTGAACCAGCAGGACGAGATTCAGGACTCTCAGCGTCTGTTTCGGTGACCAACAAAGCGACGTTTTCATCGGCTGTGGCGTTTGTTCTACGCTGACCCACAACGGCTGTGTCGGTGTCAGTGTCGGTGTCGGTGTCGGGACCTGTTACTGTTAGGTCACTTGTCGTTGGTGGCCGAGGCTCTCTGACCAGGAGTAAACCGCAAGCGTGGATGGTGGCGAATGTCCCAGCGAGTACCAAGAACAGGGATGGGACTCTAGATGAGGGGGAGGGGATAGTGTCGGTAAAGGGCGTGGGGATGGGGTGGACGTGGGGGTGGGTGTGGGAGTAAGGGTTGGATAGGGTGGGGTGGGAGATAAATAATGAGGTCAGGTACACCAAAAATAAGTTATACAATCTTAAAAAGGATTGACTTTTGTGTAGCTAAAATAAGTATTATTATTTATAATAACTGGGCTGGCCATGTCAACAGAATGCCTGATTTCAGAATCTCAAAGGCAGTATTCTATTCTGCACGTTCCTTAGGGAAGTGTAAAGTTGGTGCAAGACACCCTGAAAATGTTTCTGAAGACTTCAACAATAATCTCTCGACATGGGAGAGCCTAGCACCCGACGTACTCATTTGAAGAGCAACAATCACAGTTGTCTACAAGTCATACGACTTTTCACGATATTAGACATGCTGAAGCCGAGAGAGAAGCCCACAAGCTGCACACATCCACGAGTGGAAAGGAAGCTTTTAAATGCTTCAAATGTGGCAAGCTCTCCTTTGTAAGAATTCGTGTCACTGGTCGTAGCATGAGCCATGAGTTCTCTCAAACTTTATTTCTTCTATTGCACCCAATAGTCTCCCGTGCAGATGCATTGGTCATCGTCTGACAATGATGAATTGATTATTATATGTTATTCAGATATTTGAGTCAGGGTTGTAGCCGAAGACGACTTTTATCGATTGTAGGACCACCAAAGATATCTTTAACGTGCACAACTTGCTCATGGGACCTTCGAGATTTTTCACCCTTATCCGAGAAGGCCAGATGTTCAGTCTACCTACTCTAAGATAAGGAGTGTGGCTGAAGGACAGCTGTAAGAATTAAAAGGATCGAGGATCGAGGAGTAGCAGTAGAAAGTGTCAGGAGTAAAGGAGAGAGAAGCCCAGAGGAGGTCTGCGTGGGGGGGGGGGGG